ACTAGCATTCATTTGTGGGGTACATGTTTTGTTGATTATTGAATTGGTTATATCCCAATTGAGCTAGTAGTGCATTGAAAGCTTTCATCTTGATAAAAGTGGATAACAAACCCTTTTCATTGAGTAGCTGGGATTTTAGCCCCATCAACCACTGAATTTCTCGCGCCGAAAGGTGGAGGGCCCAAGCTTTAAGTTAATAATTGAACTTGCTACCAAAAAAAAAAAAAAAATGTGAGGACTTTTCCCAAAAGGTGAGAAGTGAGAAATGATTAGATGGAGGTTGATTTGATTTGTAGCCTAGTTGATTTGAGTTTGTAAGTCCTTAGGGGTGTTTAAACACCTAATGCCCTAAAGCTGTCTGGTTTGGGAGTCATTGACCTAACGCTCGACCTCATGGATCGCTAGAAAGCTTAATAGATCAACACATTGCACTATGCTTCCATCTTTGATCCTTAGGAAAAAAAAAAAAAAATGAGTGAAAAAAATAAGCGCACCTAGATCAATAAAGCTTTAATAAAAGGTTCACTCTTTGTCTTGATGATTGGTACTAGATTTGTGTGCTAGTTTGAGGGTAAGAATGTGATCATTTCTTTAGTTGGCTTAGATAGCAACATATTTGATGCCGATTCACTCAAAAAGGATTGTAGAGTTGTTTTAATTTGCATAATCATAATCATGATGTGTGGAAGACCATACTTGCTTGTTTGGTATTGAGATTTTGGGAGATTGCTTGGAAATAGTTGAAAAATTGCATACTTGAGGTAGTTTCCCCCAATGCTTGTTTGGAATATTGGTGCCTCTTTAGTGAGAATGAACATATTTTTCCGTTTTAGTCTAATTTCATGTTATTTCCCTTTTCAGGCACTTATCCCCAAAATAAGTTAATCCAGCTGAATTAAAGAATAAAATATGCAATCTCAAGCTTAGTGGAAGAAAGGAGCAAAGTGGAAACAAAGTGGTGGAAAACAGGAATCTTCAATCGATCAGACCAAGCTCAGATCGATCTCACAGTGATTGTTCCAACCATGCCAAGATGGATTGAGCCTCTTGTCCTTATCCTCAGGAAATTTTCATCTTCGATCGATCCAACATTACTACGATCGATCGGACTTCTTTGATCTTATCTCCACCTACCACTTTTGTCCTTTTCCCAAAATATCCCAAAAATATCTCAGATTTGTCATTATTCCAAAAAGGCGCCGCCATGGTTCGATCAATCGAACCTCCTCAAGTGCGAGAAAAACAGAGTTCCAGCCAATTAAAAGGTATGCTCGTGGTGCAATCATTTGGAGGTCCTAGTGCACGAGGTCTGACCATTAGGTGTGACCCTTGAGCTACCTATATAAGGATTTTGATTCATTTTACACATAAGACAATCTTAGAAAAAGGAACCATACACATAAGAGAGGTTGGAGGAGTCTAGAGATTAGAGAGACACACACTATTTGGGAGTTCTTCCACTCATCTAGGGTTTCCATCAAGGAGAAGAAGATCATTCCTACCATAGACATGGCCCTTGAGGGTTGGATGACTACATCAATGAGTGGCTAAACCATTCTCTTGGGGCTAGAGATAGCCCTAAGCATGTCTCCTAGACTTTGATGTTTTGTATTTTGAGGGGATTTGTGTTGTAATTCTTGTCTTGACATTTGATTTATATGTGAATCTTGTTTCTACAATGATTTGTATAGTTTAATACTTCCAATTGATCATTTCATTATATTCATATGTCTATGTATGCTAAAATAGATGTTCATTTGTTTATCTCTAGGTTTTGTGATATTGATGCATGTCTATGTGTGTTGATGCTATGAATCTAGTGATTGTCAATGCATGGTGCTCTAATGGAATACTCTTGTGATTTGTTTGATGGTTCATACTCATTTCTTAATGGATTGTGCATCTTCCTTAGTTTAATTAGTTTAATTTTCATGCCCCTAGCTTAGATGGGAGGACAATTTATGCTTGTTGTTTGATGTTCCATACTTATGAATGCAAGTAGTATATTTCTTTAATTTGATGATGTGTATTGATTATGGACTTAAAGGAAAGAATAATGGCTTAATTTGATATGTTGTGCTATTCACTAGTTTATCTAGACAATGTATACTTAATTAGCCATCCATACTTCTTAATTCAATCAATGACACACACTAATATTGTAACATATAATCCCCCTCATTCATTACACATTGCGTGTCTAGGAAGGTGATGTTTAGTGGTGACCTCTAAGTCTCAAGATCCCTCTCTTATATTCTCTACATTTTACTCTACTTCAATTGCTTTACTTTGCATCCATTTAGTTGACATTGTAGTTTAATTAACCAATCAAAACATCGTTGATCACTCGACCTACTAATCCGACCTTGATTTCCAAGGATAATACACTCCATTTCCCTTGGGACGATTCCTACTCACCCTAGCTATATTTATAGTTAGAAGTGGTAGTGGCAATCTCTAAATTTAAACTTGGCCACACTACACGCCATTTTGTGCTTCGTGCTAGGCGCACACCAGAAATGAATCATTGATAATACATTTACTTGATAAATCATTGTTTTGGTCAAAGATAATGTTGATATGATTGATCATTATCTTAGAATTTAAACTTGATTTATGTGTTTTAGACCCAAAGAGTGAAAAAAAAAAAAAATTGAAAAATAGCTTGAAATGAAAAAGTTTTTGAAAAAGAAAGAAAAATATTTGTTGTTTTGAGAAAAATGTGAGATGGAAAAGACTATCTTTGGGATTTGTCCGAAAGCTACATTAACTCGAAACAAATGGGAATAAGGGAAAGAGCTGGCTGCCCATAAGTGTGAAAGCGGTCAATGTGTAAAAAGAAAAATGGAGCACAAAGAGAGAGAGAAAAAAAAAAAAAAAAAAAAAAAAAGAGTCTTTTGCACATGTTGATTGTTTGATTTCTAAAGATATATGATATCATTGATTTATTATCTGAAATCTGAATAATTGACAGATCATATGTTTTTGGAACTTGGTGGTGATTTTACTACACTTACTAAGTTTGTGGAACTTAAAAGAATTGATCTTAGTTATTTCTGTTGATACATATAATCTTGTGGAGTCTACATTCTCATTGGTTTCCATTTACAAGATTTATATGGTTGGTTGCTTCCTACTTCTAGGATATTTCTTCCTTGAGACCTTTGTTAATTTGTGACAAAAAGGGGGAGAGAGGTTTAGAGTCTTATCATTCAAGGGGAGAGATTCTTTTGCATTAAGGGGGAGAACCTTTTGCGTTGAGGGGGAGAACCATTAATCATTGCATGTGTTTACATATTGCGTTGATATTCAGGCATTAAAATGTGTTATTTTATGTTTGTGTTTATTTTCTTAATTAAGCTTCACGGGTAGCTGTGTTGAGCTAATGTGTAAATTACAGGTTGCTACACGTGTTGAAGATTCATAAGGTTAAAGAAAATTTCTGCAAAAAATTTCCGCGTTTTATATCCTTTAACAATCATTGTAATTTACTTTCCTGCTTGCGTAGATTGCGGAATTATTTTTAGGGTTTTGTCACGAAATTGCCAAAGGGGGAGATTGTGAGATATATTTTTATAATTGGCTAATTTCATTGTCAAAACAAGTCCGATCGAGTTGTAATTTTTCGGTTCACAATTTTAAAGATTGAAGATCGGATAAGGATTTGAAGAAGTTCAAGTGTTCATAATATACTACACTCCGAGATGATGAGAACAATGCTTTAGGAAGATTGAGAGGTAGTGAGAACACATTGGGCGAGTTTTGAAAGTTTTTGAGGAAGATTTTACGTTCTGTACATTTTGAACTGGTTCCTAAAAGTACTGAACAGGTTCAAGATCAGCAGAGTTGAAAAATTCAAGACTGGCCATCTTGAACCAATTCCCAAAAGTACTGAACAGGTTCAAGAGTCAAAAAGAGCCTTTGAAATTGTGTCTGGCCTTCTTGAATCGGTTCCCACTTTCTTAAACCGATTCAAGACTTCTGAAAGGTTATGGAAACTTACCTTTCTTGCTCTGTTTGATTCCTTTTTGTACCAGACTTCTTTCCAAGTCCTATGCACGAAATTTATTATATTTCCTGAGGGATTAGGACTTTCTAAACTCTATATAACCCTTGTCATACACATTGGTTCATTCATGGCTTTAGGGATCATCAATTATATATTTTAAGAAAGCCTTTTAGAGAGAGAAAATTCAGAAAATCAAATCTGATTGTTTTGAATTTATGAGAGCATACACATATATTCATGAGTGATTTAGTAATGTTCTCTATCTAATCGGAATTGGAGCTATATTGAAGATTCAGATATTCCGTATGAAGAGTAGGATTTAATTCTTCTACATCAAGTTCAGATCTTGAAGAACAGAAGTAAAAACGATCACTCTTTGAAAGGATTTGAGCATTCGAGGAGTGTTGTTTGATCTACCTGCTACTCTTCTACAAATATCAAGCATAAGCCTGAGATCAAGTTGCTGTTGGACGGGGAGTCGCAAAGCCAGAGGATTGTCAGCAATTGGTGTTTGGTAGAACAATAGGGTGTGAACCAGAGTCAAAGTTCGGTGTACTTTGTTTCAAACATAGTGGATTGGTTTACTTTGGACTGAATAGTCCACGAGATTTTTCTCATGCAAACAGTTGACGTATTTTATCAACTGGGGTTTTCTCGCTAAAAATCCTGGTGCAATCTCTCTAATTGATCATACAATTTAATCAATCATAAATTAAGCAAGTTGACCTAATAATCAGATCTAGGTCATTAAAGGAGTGAATCACAATTAAAATCAATTAACTGTTTCCACACCCCGCGTAACTCTATTTTCACATCTAATTCATTATCCAAATTTTTTTTTTTTACCACAAGTTATCGTATATGTATAAATCCATGACTGCGTTGAGGTTCCACATAATACAACTCTTCCTTTAGGATTTAGATCTAGTGACTGCTATAGAAGAAGAATCTCTACAAAATATTTCCACAACAAACTAAAACAGTCACGTACCTTTTCATGGAAGACCAATACGGACTCCCTCATTAACTGTGTCTGCATAAATCAAAAACTGAATGAGAACAATAGAATGGAGCAGGTGAATTGATGTGAAATGGTAAGAGTAGTGACTAATGACAGGATCCACTACTTGATGCAATTATAGAAGTCTTAGATGCTACTTATCAAAAAAAAAAAAAAAGTCTTAGATGCCAAGCTTGAGAATTCAATCCGAGTTTGAGAACAGTCACTTTGTGCAAAAGAATACTAAAGGTTGCATAGGTAGGATCGACACTTGGTAATGGCCTCTTACTGAGTTTATGTTCTCATGTCAGTTCTAGGAAATAATAGGTTTCTATGAATGAAAGTACTAAATTAATAATTTAGGAAGAAAAAAAAAGAAAGTACTACATGAATAGGTCTCTTACAAGAAGATTTCAGAGTATCATCATGAGAATAGTTATGAGAACACAAAAAGAGTTCCATGATATTATAGTAGATGGACATGTAAATCCTTTGCAAATTTGGTAGGAATTAAATATTTTATCATCTATACCCAAATCAGGTGTTGCTTCATTGTAAAAATTCAAATAAATCACATTTTCATTGTTATAAACATAAATGGTGTCAAACTTTACATTGTTATAAACATAAATGGTGTCAAACTTTATGGTCCATCCTTGAGCACATAAAGAATACCATGGGAACATAATGGGCATAGAGCTCCGAATTAGCTACTTTAGCTCAATCCAAAGTGATGGATAGAATTCAAGTCTAATATTCCAAGTCTAAATAGAGATGGTCTGGGGAGCAGAGTGAGGCACTTGTATGGATGTAAATGGAAAGAAGATATAAACGACAGTGCCACTAACAGATCTCAGCAGAGTGAGGCACTTTTATGGATATAAATTGAAAAATATAAATGACAGTGGCACCAGCAGATCTTCCGGTATTTATAGTCATCCTCAAAACATTAAATTACGAATCTATACTCCATTAACTGTTTCCATTTGTTCCTGTACAAATATTTCTAAGAAAAAACAGTTCGGTTTCAACTAGAACTACAACCGAATAGAGCCTTATCCCAACTACTGGGTCATCAAGAGAGAGAGAAAGACATTGACCTTTCTAGATCTTATTTGCATTAGAGCAGCACCAAGTTGTTCCTCTAATTGCACGAGGTCTGTCACACTAAACTGCTCAGCACTTGGTTCATCCAGGTGCCTGTGAAATTAGTATCAATCGGCACAAACATTTCATTTACTACATCATGTACAAGAAGGGTAAAATTGTTACCTTTTGACTATTTGCAGTAGCTCTGCACTTGTCCGGATACTTGCACAATTCTACATGGAAAAGAATTTTGTTACATCAGTAACATAAAAAAAAAAAAAAAAAAAATTAAAAAAAAAATACATCACTTTGTAGTTGATACGTTGCTGGAATTTTAGATGGGATGATTTAAGTAAGAAAAAAAGCACAACAAAAGGTTTGCAACAGTGGAGGCAGTAAAGCCTAGAATCATATCTTATTTCTCCCAATTTGTCCCCCAATAATTTATCAATAGGTAAAACCAGAATACTCATTGCGTATGCTGTACAATCCCAGATATTGCTAAATAACAAGAACAAGCTTTTAAATAACTGGAATATATCTGGAAATCCTGAGCTATTCTGAGGGTGAGCCTTGGCGCAACAATATCGTTGCTCCATTGTGACTTGGAGGTCACGGCTTTGAAATGGGATACAGTCTCTCCGCATGCGAAGATAAGGCTGCATTCGTCTAACCCTCCCCAGTCCTCGCAATGGTGGGAGCCTCGTGCACTAGGCTAGTCTTTTTTGTTTTCCCTTTTTATTCATCATAAACTATTCTGAGCAATGCATGAACTTTAACAATGCCAAAAGGAGCAAGGAATTTTGAAATAATTTTTCGATACAGCATGGATTTAAATGGGAGCTTGGACAAATCTTTATGATTAACGCCTTAATTACCACTAAAACTATCTTTTTTATTTAAATTCAAGGAACACTTCTAATATTGGCAGTCATTACTATGGGTGAGCCTAGCCCGAGCGACCCAAGTACCGCCCAAGAATTTTCCAAGCATCTGCAAGGTAATTGTGATCATGAGATTTGGATTGGGTTTAAATCTTAGAGCCCAAATTTATTTTTCGTGGGATTTGGGTAAAGACTTTACTAACCAATGCAACATGAGTAACCCTAAATACAAGAAGAAATTATAACTTTTATATTTGTTATGAGTCTTATGACTACACATTGTTAATGTAAAATAAGATTAAGATTGCAATTGCAGGATTTTTTTCTTGATGGCATAATGTTATAGGTAGTCACCAACCTAATTTGTGACACATTTGCTTTAAAAGTTTGAATTAAAATTATAATAACTGATATTAAGTTAAATTTATAAACATAATAATAAGAAGTATAAAGTTTTAATCCCTTTTCAAATTATAATACGAAGAAACATTATTAAACCCACAAGTTTGAGTAGTTTTATTTCATTGTTAAATGTATATAGTTTTAGTATGTAATGAATACACTCTAGGTATTTTATTTCTTTATGGAAATTAGGCAAACCAATCAAATTAACAGAATTTAATCGACTGTTTTACATTGGTAGTCTAAATTCCAAAGGAATTTGATACAGGCCTCCTTGCGGTCCTTTCAGTCAGGTGCACATGAAGCCCCCAACATGAACTTTATAGTAGGCTCCAAACTCAAGAAAATAGTGCATTTTTTTAATCACCCAGTCATATGCTTTTTTATTTTTGTTTCCATTTTTTTCCTTTCTTTTGTGTGTGTGTGTTAAACCTGAATGGTTGACGTGCTCTATACATGTTATGGTCTTGTGCGATCAATTGTATTGTCTAATCACATCGGACACTAGGTATTTAGGATTCATGGGCTTACACTTGCCTACATGAATTCCAGGTATGTAGTGAATCACATGTGTAGTCCTTTACTTACTAAATTTGCTTATAAATTTATTACGATTATATGATTTTACAAAGATTTTATTATCAGAAAATATATTATTGGCGATCCCAAATAATTTAGAGAATGATAAATTGAGTTGAGTAGGATTGTCAATTGTATCCATTATGGAAATGGCAAATCAATTCAAAGAATTTCTGACACAAGTATTTAATTAGTTCGGACTTGTTTAGTATTGAATTGGGGCCAAGACAAAAAAAAATAAACAAATAAAAAAATAAAATAAAATAAAATAAAAATCAATCAGAAAGGCCCATAAACTTTGTTGTTTAGCATATTAAACTATGTATTTCATTTGGTGAAAGCCAAATGAGCTAGGATAATATATTTTCATTTATTTAAGTAACTCTCTTAATTGATATGGCAGAAATTGAACCGTGTTTTTCGATTTGTGATTAAATTTATGTTTCATATTTAGAATTATTTCAACTACAAGCATATTAGTATAAACATATACTATAACAATAGCTTTACTTCGCTCAAGTCACATCTTACGCTGGCCCTTGCCCTTAAACATCAGAGAACTTTGAAGTCTTACTGGTCCTTGAGCACTTAATAACAATAAAAATCAGTTCAAACGGTACTATAGAACATGTCAAAGCAGCAATTTAAGTTTCTTGATTCCAGTAGTCTGAAGTATAAGAATTCTTTAACAAAATTCGTACATTTTCTGGTAGAGCCGAACTGGTAAGAACTAGTTACTTTAACGGTTTTAAAAGTTAATAGGTGATACAATTACCTCTGCTTCATTTACAGATCTGGAGACCTTTTCATCTTCACCAAAGTGGCTGTGATAACGCTGAATAATCTTGTCCAAACTGCATCATAAAGTAACTATTTGAAACTCTTCCAAAGTTTACAGATAATATGAAAATTGCAAGAATAGTACAGATAAAAGTAAGTAAAATACAATAAAGTTATTCTTTTGATAGTGAGACATAGGAAGTTCAGTAGTTCGATGAAAAGAAAGGCTAAATGCACTTGACCATTTAGCAGTCAGCCTGGAGAGGGCATACCTTGCAAACTGAGGTTGTCAAGGTGCTATCAACAGCTATGTCAAATTTGTTATTATTATTATTTTCCGGAAAGTAGCTGTGTCAAATTTGTATCTGCTGCTGTCTTTACTAATTAAATCCACTTTGTTTCTTTTTTTCCTTTTTAACCAACTATGCTAAAATATTATGTTGTATTGGATGTTCAAGCAATGCTTATAAAGAAGTGCTTTAGAGTAGAGCAACAAAAGTCTTTTGTGGCTTAGAATTCAATCTAGATTAATCGCCACCATAACTACTATTATACCGCAGATTTTAATTTGATTATGCTGATTGAATAAAATCAAGTACTGTCTAGCGGAATCACATTTAACTGCAATGACAAAAAAAAAATTGTCTTAAATGTCAATGTATTTGTATTTCATTTTATGCAGCCTTCTCTTTTTCTTCTTTATTTTTTTCTATAATAAGACAATTGTAATTTCTTTAAAAAGGTCATCCAAGATTTATGATCAACACCTAAAATGTGAAGATATTAAGCCTAGTTGACAATCATTAGTAAACATAGTTCCGTAGTTCTGGTCGTAGATGGTCTTGGTGATAAATGAAGCAACTCTTAAACATGGGTCTACATCACAGTAGTCCTTCAAATTTATTAAAGTTCAGAAATAATATAAGATAACAATGCTAAGGATATAATAGATAGAATACACGATCCAATACACAAAATGGTATAAAACAAAGAGAAAAGAGAGAATCAGTTAACAACATCCTTATTAGTGATCTCTCTTCTTTGCCATCCTGAAGATGTCACTACCTTACTATTTCCTCTCTACTTTTCCACTCGACGACTAAAATTTTCCTCTACAGGCCTCGAAAGCAAAGATTCAAGGGTTTTTTTTTCCCTTCATGTTTGTGTAAGATGTTTGTAGCAACAACAGGGAGATCTCAAGACAGGCAATATTGTGACATGTACCAAAATAGAGATACCATTCCATACACAGATGTAGTTTAAAACAAAGGAAAAGCAGATAAATTAATCATTAAAATCCTTATCTTTCATATCTCCGGCCTGCCACTCTTCCAGTCATCACTGTATATGGAGAGTTCCAATTGGCGGCCTTTGTTGGATGGTTTGGAGTTTGCTTCTTGCCATATCCTAGGGTTTGGTTGGCATAGCCCCTTACTAAGGACTGGAAATTCAAAACTGAATATGAGACTTCTTGTGAGACTGCTTCCAACCCCAAAGATGCCCTTGTCCTATTTTTTCAATCATGTTCAACAGCTAGAGCCAATCACGCGAGCACGCACGAGGGATTTCTCATATTAGCCAAAGAAAGTGGAAGCGAAGATTTGTTAGATGTCAGGAATGAGGGGATTAGCCTAAAAGCATTCTTGCATCTCAGGATATAGGTCAGTTGGAGGGGCCCTCTGAGGAGGATAAGGTAGCCTGAGTGCTTTGGAGTTGTGAGGGGGATAAGCCCCTGGTCCCAATGGTTACTGTTGGGAATTGTCTCTCAGTTTCCTATTCTAATTAGGTTCCTATTTTAGAATTGTATTTTTTTAGGAAATTTCTTGTTAAGTAAGTCTTGAGCTCTAAAAAAATGTAATCCTTGTCCAACAAGGAATTAGGTTTGGAACTCTATAATACACCTAGGTTATGGGTTGCGACTTATGAGATTGAGAGATGTAGTTTAATGAGGAAGTTGATGGGTAGAGGTAGTTTATGTGTTGATAGAGTAGGAAAAATACCAAGGAGATAGGCTTGTGGAATGGTACATGGTCAAGAGGCATGTAACGGTGTTGGTACTCTAGTGTTGTTATATCATTTTTTTCCTGACTTTTTTTCTTGTATAGTTTTGTAATATCTCTATGAATCATAGTGGAATCTCTTCTCATCCATGGATGTAAGCCGGTTTTGCCTGAACAATGTTATATCTTGTGTTTGTGTGATTGATTTGTTAGTGTTCATTGGGATCTACAAGTTTGCACGTTTTCGCTACCCAACAGTTACACTTTGGGCTTTCTTAAGAAGAGTTGGGATATGGTGAATAGAGACGTGATAGATGCCATTTAGTTCTTATAAGATACGAACAATTTGAGAAGAGTATTGATGCTACGATAATTGCTCTTATTTCGAAGAAGGGTGGAGTCACTGATGTAAAGGACCTTAAGCCTATTAGCTTAGTAGGTTGAATGTATAAGCTAATAGTCAAAGTCGTGGCCTTGCATTTGAGGGAGGCCATGGATGAGCTAATTTCAAAATGCTTCTACGGGAGGGAGGCAGATTATAGACTCGGTTCTGATTGAATCCGAGTGTTTGGAGGCAAGGATCAAGAGCAAGGTGCCAGGAGTGGTTTGTAAGTTGGATGTTTGGAATGCGTACGACCATGTGTGATGGAGAGGATGTAATTTTGGGGTGAGATTGATCTCAATCTTTGTGAACAAATCTCCAACAGATTTTTCTCTAGTTCAAAGGATTTGAGGCAAGAAAACCATTTTATCTATTTCTTTTTATTACAGTGATGGAGGCTTTTAGTGTGTTGGTGAGGAGGGCGGTAGAGTTAAGATATATTAGGGGCTTTAAGGTGGGCAAAAATTCTGCATATCAATTGAAAGTGTCACACCTTCTCTTTGCAGACGATTGTGTTTTGCTAGGCGACAAAGGACCACTTGATATATTTGAGATGTGTTCTAGTCCGCTTTTAGGCAGTATCCGGTCTCCACATCAATCTCAGGAAGAGAGACAATTTCTCCAACTGGATTTTTCTCTAGTTCAAAGGATTTGAGGCAGGGAGACCATTTTCTCTATTTCTTTTTACTACAGTGATGGAGGCTTTTAGTGCATTGGTGAGGAGGGCGGTAGAGTTAGGATATATTAGGGGCTTTAAGGTGGGAAAAAAATCTGCAAATCAATTGAAAGTGTTGCACCTTCTCTTTGCGGATGACACGATTGTGTTTTGCGAGGGAGGACCAGTTGAGATATTTGATATGTGTTCTAGTTTGCTTTTAGGCAGTATCTGGTGTTCGCATCAATCTCGGGATGAGAAACACAATTTTTGTGGGGGAGGTTGGTGCGATAGAAGCCTAGACGACATTCTGTGATGTAGTGTAGGTTCTTTCCCAATGACATATTTGGGCATATACGTTGGAACAACATCGAGACACATGGATACTTGGGATCCAGTTCTAGAGAGTTTTGAGAGAAGACTTGCAGGGTGGAAAAAAAACAACATTTATAGAAAGAGGAGCATTTTACTTTTATTTTTGAAAATCATATCTTTGGGTTGACTATGTGATTGTGCCAGATTTATTGGGTTTTCATTTTAGACGTATATTTAGGCTTTTGTCTAGGGATTTGTTTTTTTGGTTCTTTTTCCACATTTGTAATTTTCCTTATGTATATAATGTAGTGTAGGTTCCTTCCCAATGACATATTTGGGCATATACATTGGAAACAACATCGAGATACATGAATACTTGGGATCCAGGAGCGTTTTAAGAGAAGACTTGCAGGGTGGAAAAAAAACAACATTTATAGAAAGAGGACACTTTACTTCTATTGTTGAAAATCACATCTTTATGTTGACTCGGTGATTAGGCAAAATTTATTGGTTTTTCAATTTAGGCATATATTTAGGCTTTTGTTTAGGGAATTTTTTTTTTTTTTTGGTTCTCTTTCCATATTTGTAATTTTCCCAATGTATATAATGATAGTCAGACTCTCAAATTGAATAAGCAAATTTTACCAAATTATTTTTTGGTATCAAAGCCTCAAACCTACACTGCGTCTCCTCCCTCTATCTCTTTCATCAACTCTTTTCCTCTATCTCATCAGAGCCCCTTCCCTCTTTCTTTCTTTTCATTGCGGACTCTCTCTTCTTTAGGCCATTGTTGCAACAGTCCTGGGCGGAGCTAATCTCCTCTAGGTTCGACCCCTATAGGGAAATTCCTTTAGCGTTTTCCATGCACTAAGGGTCAGAAGGTGTGTTTGCAATCTTTTGGGGCTACGGCCCGGGATATTCAGCAGCATTTTTCAATCGACCCCCTATGTCTCTGGCTTTTTGGTTTAATCAAAATCAGGTTTATTCCTCCTTTATTTGAGATTATTGGTGATCTGTTGAATTATTTTATTTAATATTATGGTTGATTCAAGTAATAATAAATAAACACTCTCTTTTGCACAACACATACCGACTCAACGAGTTACTAGTGTGTTGTTGAATGGCTATAATTTTACATCCTGTTCTCGTTCCCTCCGCCTTTATGTTGGTGGAAAAGGCAAATCAGGGTGGCTTTTGGGTACTGAAAAGAGGTAAGATATTAAAGATCCTAAATATGCTCAGTGGGATATGGACAATTGCACCATTTTAGGATGGATGTTTAATCGTATAAAGGAACGAACTTATAATATATTCATGTTTTATAACTCTATTGACGACTTGTGGATTACTTTGAATCAAATATATGCTCATTCTAAGAATGATGCTCGTATTTTTGAGTTATACTAAGATATTGCTAAGGCCTCGCAGGAAGGCCTGAATTTGTCTGTGATTGATTACTTTAGGTATTTGAGATCTCGTTGGGAGGAACTAGCTCAATATGAGCCTCTGAGTGAATTTCCTCGTGAGGCCTCTTCTTGTCAAACGTCTTAACTGCCAGCATACCTATAAGTTTTTATAGAATTACACCCAGAATTTGAACCACTTAAATCTCAGATCTTGAATGCATCACCAACCATCCCTATTGGAAGCTTTTGCTATTGTTGATGGTGAAGAACGCATACATCATTTACTTTAACCCTTACTTGTTCCTCCATCAGTGTC